CTGGCTAGTTTGTTTGATACTGTACTACACTATATTCTGGCTAGTTTGTTTGATACTGTACTACACTATATTATGGCTAGTTTGTCTGATACTGTACTACACTATATTATGGCTAGTTTGTCTGATACTGTACTACATTATATTCTGGCTAAAATGAAGTTGATAATCCCATTTATTAATATTGCTTTTAGACTTATTAAAACTCTCTCTATATACATAATAATTTTGTTTGTTTTGTTGTAGCCTGTGGCAGATAGGAATAGACTATTTTGACCATTGTCCAATGCTTGGAAGGTAAGGATTCTGTACATGATATGATTGTGCTTTGATGTTGTTGTTTTTAATATTATCTGGTTAGAGTAATGTATTTTTTCTTATCACTAAAATTATATATTTCAGTGAAAACAGAACAAGAAGCTCTTTCTGTTAGTTAGTTTTTCATTAGTCACCGAGTTCACACTTTTGAAGAAATTCACTTGTAATCGTTATCCTTAGACTTGGGTAAAACATTGAGACTGTTGTGGACCACTGGCCCTTAATTTATTTTTATTGTGAAATTTTAGCATAGATCTAATCATTAGTTTTCAACTTGGGTTGTGAATATGTAATGTTCGGTTATTGATTTTCAAACTTGATCTAATGGTTTTTAGATTTTACTGTTTTTATGTCATCATTTTAAGAGCTTCCTGTGAGTTGTATTTGTTTACTTTTCTTGATATTTTGTGTTTCTTAAACATCTTTGATTTAATTTCATTGCCTTTGATATACCTGTTTGTTGTAGACAGTATTTGGAACTTTTTCTTGAACGCATTCCTCTCACGTCTGAAATCAAGACCCGAAAAGTATTGGCTATTGCTGAGAAAAGAGAGATGTTTCACTTAGGTGAGATAGTAAACCTTTGTTATGGCATTAATTGTTTCAACATACACTTTAATATCAAATATAGTAAATTATTTCTGCTTCACTTATGTAAAGGAACTTTGGTTAATGTTTCAGTTATTCTTCAAACCTGTAGAAGTAAAGGCTAATCCATAAGACATGACAAGTTAGATTTGTCACATTTCTGGTAGATTAATAATTTTTTATGTGGATTTAGACGAGGAAAATTACAGTGCACTTTCATGAATCTTTCTCAGAAGGTATATTATAATATTTTTGTCAAGCTTTTAAATGAGAATAACAAAAACACATTTTGTAGACCAGTGCAAGTATTTATGTATATTCTGAATATCTGAAAAATAACCTAAAAAAAGACCATTGTACAGGACTGTAAGATGTAGTAGTATGCTTTGGACATGACAGTCTTATAAAAGAAACCTTTTGCAGTGGAAACTACACTACAGGGCTATTGTCAAGATGCATGATCATCAGATAGAGTGTGACTAGACATGGTAACTTAAACTATAATAATATGATGAGGCCTAAGATGATATCCAGTATTTCATTTACGAATCTCTGTAACACTATCTGGCATTATGTGGGGAGTCTTCCGTGCCAAGTTCGGGTTATTATAACTAGAAATGGTGGACCAACCCAGTATTTATCGAGATTCCTCACGTAGTGGCTACTAGCAGTGTGTTATTAGTTTTTTATTTATGTTTTGATGCAGCTAAATAAAACAAGCTTTTAAATCCTATAATGAATATTTGAAATTAAAGCTTCAGACTTGGTGAAAGTACTCAAGAGGAGTTGGCCAAAATATTGCCTAATTATTTTTATTGTAAAGTATTAATTTCTAGGAGTAGGAAAATGATCTTGAATCAGCTTATGACACAAAAATAAAGTTTAATGATGAGAATTCTTAGTATTATGTTCAAATACTCTAAATGTATACACCTGAAAATATTAAAAACAGTTAAATCTCTCCTATGCTGAGATGGAGCTGGTACCAAGCTCCAACTTATTTGACACTTCCCCTGGAAAGGATGCCATTCCATCACAGATTACCCCCAACTAACAGCTAGGTTCTATTATACAGATGAGAACATGTGAGGTCAAGTGTCTTACTCAAGGACACAACAATATGACACAGCCTTGAACTCACATCAACCAACTGCAAGTCCAAAGCACAAAGCCACTGAGCCATA